TCGAGCAAAATTTGTGCTGTCTCCAGATAGGACCACCTGTATCAAACTTGTGGCATGCCTGCACACAGTCATGGTTAATAGGTTCTCAAAAATACCGAGGCAACAATACACTAGATATTAAGAAGCTCCATGCAAAAATAAGACCTATCCCCCTTGAGATGAAGATGAGTAGCATTTTTCATTTTTGTTGTTCAGTTTGATGTTGGAAAGGACGTTAGATATGCAATTTTAGCACAAACAACGACGGTTTTTTTTAACAATACACCAAAGTACATATCCATAGACTTACTGGCATCTTCGGCTCCAAACTCTTCAATGGCTATTCCGGGAGCTTTCTGCAAAATAACAGGAAAGTGGCCAGAGTGAGTTAAAGGTTGTTTTAGATAATGTGTGGACCATACCTCTATCCCTCTGGTCACGCAATGTAAATTCAAGACCCGTTCAGATTAATAGACCTCTTGTAGATAAATCAAATGAAGAACAAGGAAACAATCGCACAAGCGCGCCGCTTTTAGCTCCACGGTGTTGTCTGCTTTCCGAACGCAAAAATTAGTTTTTGCATGACCATTATTTGAAAAGGAAATATCCTTTTTGTTTCGTGTCTTACCGTAAGATCCATTGTGGTGGTTTCTTAACTCTGACTTTTTTGAGGTTCCTTTGTACCAATGTGGAAGATGGCTGCAAAGAAGAGTCCTGTTCCAGTAGCAATCCACGAGAGGTACTGTTCAGAAAAGAATTAAACATACATTCTCCAGTCAACAGCTGATGAGAATACTCATGTTTATCAGATAGAAGTTTTTATCTTGATCTAACACTAAATTCTCAAGAATTAATTTACAAGGAAATGTAAAGGTCCCAGAGTATCGCTATTGTCTTGTCCGAAAAGGCCCCAGGCGATCACGTATATGTAAATACCACTAAGGAAGCTGAACATTGTCCTTTTGAACAAGAAAAAGAGAAGAATAAGAAAAATTGTTCTTAGATGTCACGTTTATCATTCCTACAGGATAAGTTAGGAAAAAACGGCCTCAGAATGTCCGTGCTTGAGTTGAGTTATATAAAAGTCATACAAGTGATTTATACAAGTATATTAAAACAAATATGATTGCCGTTTGAACTACGTGTCTTAAAAAAGGTTTCTTGAAGCAAACTTCATGGCATTAAGAGCTGTACATTCTCGACGGATTCAGTTACAGTTGTAATAAAGGTAATTTACCTCCACAATGCTCAAACAAATGTTGTACACCGAGATCAAGAATCCAATTGAAAGCCACCCACCATGATTTCAAGAAAACAGCGGTTAAAGAAAAAAGGAAGGATAATGCTCATTAAAACCGTTATCAAAAGGTGCCAAGATTTTCGCCCGCCGGAATTCTTTGAAAGAAAACTTTTAAATAAAAAATTAGGCTGCCGGCAGAAGTCGTTGAATAAATTTCCTACCGCGCACAATAGCTGTTCTCTTGTCCGCAATTTAAACAGAAAGTAGACGCAACCAGTCTATATGAAAACTTCGCAAATTAGTTTAATAAAGATTCAACATAATTATCTCGAATCATGTACAAGTTAACTTGATGCTGTCCTTAAATGGAATCTCAAAAACAAATCCCTACGTAATTGGCTGCTTGAAACTTCATGGGGTGTTATAATTGGAGCAATTGACACGAAACTTGAAGACTTGCACAGGAATACAAGTTGCAGCCATTATGACCAATAAGGTCAATCAACGGCTGAATGCATGATAAAAACTGACGAATATTTACCAAGCCTAATTTCACATGTGTGAGCACTAAAACTGGAGGTCTGACAGACATACGCATAGGTAGAAGGTTTTTCATTAAATTAGTGTTATTTCTTATGACTTTTACGAAGCAAGAGGCAATGGTACTTAAGTCAACCGACTTACGCTTATATTAGCGTTGCAGAGAAAAGTAACTTTAGGAGAGTTTGATTTTAAAATAAAAACTTCGCGTCATCATCTGATGAACAAAAATATTACATTATGACGTGCTTCCGTTTTGTTATAGATCAAAGATGGCGTCAGAAGGTGCTCGTGGCACACGAGGCGCAGCCAAGTGAAAAATTGATGTTGTTACCACATTTTGACATATTTTGTGATCTTGAAGTATAAATCCACATTGACATGTAATCTGTTTGTTTTAGATGATAAAAAAAGCAAAATTGTGCGGATGGCGACGTAAACTATGCGTCTGTCCTCCAGTAGATCTTTGGTAAGAGCCAAACAAAATGGGTGAACAGTTAAGTTTAATTTAATATAATACTTTTAAAAATAGCAAACCTGATGGCGCTAAGATCTGTTAGTTCTTCAACCGACACAGCTGAAGTTGTGATGAAAGCCAGGTGATTTATCTCCATCACGCTGAAAGATATGTTATACAGTGAAAACAAGAAACCGTAATAGACGGTGGGAAGCCAAGTTTGATGACTTCCACTACAGAGAATGCAACGGTTGACACAGAGGGGAACTACGATGCCCATAAAAACCGTTGCCATGAGATCCAGGATTTTCGCATTCCAATTTCTGTGAAAGAACGGGTACTTTAACCATATCACCGAGGTAACCAGAGATTACTGAAGTCAACGCGTCGACAATTTGTCCAATGAGTATTATAAGTCCAGTGTCTGCAGCTGAAAGTTTCACTACCTCCATGAAAAATAGAAGACAAAATGAAAACATGCACTTGCAGAGGTCATTGAATATACTTCCCGCTGAACACAGGAACATTTCTCTTGTGTGCAATGTAAAAACGAGTCTCCTTGGTCTGGACACGCCACTCTCTCTCTCCCCCACTAAAGAATGCTTCGATTCTATGAGAAGCCCATTTCTTCCACTTTTATATGGGTGTGTGACGTTCCCACTTGATAATGAAATAATGCACCAATCACAGCTTGCTTTTTTTTTTTTTTTTTTCCAGATAGCCAATCATATCAATATAGTCTTAGTGAGGTTTCCTACCCCGGCCCTCACAATATTTTACTCTGAGTAAAACGAATCAAGCTAGAAAATCATTAAGTTAATCTTTTGCGTCCTTTGAAAACCTAGATACTATAACTGAGTGCTTCTTTTCTTGACGGTTTTACTGAATTTTTTTTCAGGATAGATAATGTTTGGTTTCTCCTTTGAATATCACAGTAGATTGTGAAAGACCACTAAAATTAACTTGGATTTCTTGTGCAGTTCGTATCCACAATAATCTTTTTGTTCTTATTACACACATAATAAATTGACCTTTCTTAGAGGAATTCGCTAAACCATAGATTGACGCTTGAACTTGGCTATAGCTTGTTATTCTTTAGTCATCAAATTGATAAAATATATAATTGATATAATAAAGATCGAGGTTGATGATTACTAGACTAATTATTGCAATTTATGTAATTAAAAGGAAGTTGATTGAGAAACACTGATGCAAATTCGACTAAGTCTCGTTCACCGCCACCTCCCATGACCTACATTTGGCCGATTATTAACTAGTGCTTTTAAAAAACTGACATTGGAAATGAGTTTACCATCTCTTTGGAAGAAGAAATATGAACTGAATAACCTCCCTCGAACAAGGAATTATCGTTACCTGGATACCCAAGTAATGTTTATATAGCCAGTGAACTGACGGATTTTGGCTGGTTTTGAGTCATTGATACAATTTAGAATAATCTAGAGTTGTGGATTGCAAGAGCAATTATTTGACGTGAAATGCAGTTTCAAACCATCTGCTCACTGTCAATTTTCTTTCGTAAGCTGGCATTTCAATCTCAAGCAAGTGATTGCACTATTGTTAGACAAGATAGTTCTGTTCGGGCAACAATTATCTGAGATCTCCATCAGTAAAGATACTGCCGTCTCAGAACTAAAACATCCCGTAACCATTAACGTAACTCTACCATAACCTTGTGTATGGTCTGTGTAACAAAACCCACGCATATCATATTTCTGAAAAGAAATTATAGTTTTGTGTCCTCAGAAAAAGAATGAATCGCAGCGATGGAAGAGTTTTTATTTGCATTTAACCACACCTTTAGCGTTGCTTTGTTTCGGAGAGAAGCTGAGGAAGTGGAACATCAAACGATAATTGATCTGCTTGAGCCTCAAAATCCTGTGTGTCTGCACAGGAGTAATGGGACAGGCATGTGAATTTAAATATAAATCAACGTTGTTACCTTTCGTTTCAAAGCAAACTTTTGACGGTTGGAGAAGCAAAACCAGTAGGAATACCAAACAGAATACTTCAGACGCCATTGCTAACACATTTTGCACGTATTTGCCAACAGCCTCGTTTGAGCTTATTTGAATCGAGTGTAGGAAATTGGGTAAATCAGAATATAGTAGATTTAAAAAAGTTCAAAGCAGTAGAAAAAAATTGTAAAGGTGAACTCGAGCCAAAAGGGAACTTTTTTGTGCAAAGTGAACACGAAATTGAATTCATATTTCGATTCATCATAAATCCAATAAGAAATTTCGGAAAGTGTATGGTTTTTTTTCAGTAATTGAGCTGTAAGTTTATTGTAAGTTTTGGAAGATTTTCTTTCCTTGGGTCACGTATCCTGTCCTGTGTAAACGCATTGATGAACATATTCAGTCTGACAGGTTTACTCAATCAAGTCAATTAGACTTGAGGGGCTGGACAACTAGTCAATTAGGCTCTCTGAAACCTAGTCAGATTTGGTGAATTGGAACAAACAGACACTCCTTGGCTCATAGCTAGCAAGGTCAACAAGTTGGAAAGTTCTTGAATTTTTGCGGTGCTTTTAATGTCCACGTACATTAAACGAGAAAGCAACCCTTTCTTGCGACAAATTTTGATGCCACTCAACCGTAGAATTCAAACGGTTCAACAAAGAAAAAGAAATGGAAAGCCATTGGAGACAAAAGGTCCTGATATCCTCATTCGCCCCTAGCCGTACTCTTACTATGCACGCTCAAACTAGCTAGCTCGAAGCTCTGTCAGGTTCGATCGCCCGGAAGAAACAAACAAGCACGTACGTTAAGATAATTTGGATTTATTTATAATTGAGTTGATAATGTAAATTGGCCACGGTAGAGAGTTTCAAAACTGACGTTTCGAGTGTTAAACCTTCGTCAGAGCGAGTCGTACTCGGCCGTACTCTTACTACGCATGCTCAAATTAGCTAGCTTGAAGCTATGCCAGGTTCGTTCACCTGGAACAAAAAAACACGTATGTTGACTTATATTACTTGGTTTTATTTATAACTGAGTTTATAATGTAAATTGGCCACCTTACAGAGTTTCAAAGCTGACGTTTCGAGTGTTAACCCTTCGAGTGTTATGTAATTAAGACTGTGAACATGACCATAGCAGTTCTTCAAAACCAAGAATGTCGTAATACACGTAGCTATAATGTATGAAAACTTTTGCTTGTCCGCGATTGATCTAAGCGGTTCACATTATTTGTTCCGAGATGTGAACAGTTTTCCGAGCAAACATTTAGCTATCAATAGAAAAGAAGAAAATCTAAAAAATTTTGAAAATAGATAGACTCGTTTTCAACTAAGATACTACACTATTATTATCTTTAAAAAGACAAGATCACTATTCATCAAAAAATTTAGGAAAAGTGGACTCCTGTTCATCTCGGTGCGAGAAGTTACGACTTGTCTCCTTTTATTTTACGGAATTCTACGATTGCAAAACTTTTCATGTGAAAGAGTTTTTCCTAAAATCTGAAGAACAACAGATGGAAATGAACTTTACAATCTCTTTGATTTTAACTTGATCGTTAAAAATAAAACAGTTATGGGTCGTATAGGTCGAAATCGTGGGCGTTTCTGTGCAATGACCTTTAAGTAGGTCGACAGAGCGTCTACACATAATGCAATTTTCAAAGAATTCAAAGTTTAGAGTCCTCAGAACAAGAATCCACAACCACGATGGAGGTATTGTGACTATCATCCAAGCTGTGGCCTGACGTTGCTTTGACTCCCGATGGACATTGGTTAACTTGAACATCAAACGACGATTGGCCGTGTAGAGCCTCAACATCTTCTGAAACTGGAAGTACAAATTGACAGACATTTTCGTTGACAACAAAGACAACCACGTGTAATACTGACTAACAAACATGAAGCTCTAAGTTTAAAACCGTCTTATTAACTTAGCATGGATAGCAGTACTACATAGATACAAAACCATCACGAAGTAAATGCATTTACACAGGCTTGTGTTATTTGGTAAGATTACTAGTTTAAACAAAAGAACGCTTGACACCATTGCGTCAGGGGGTAATTCAGAGTATTTGTAGTTATTCTCATTACGTTACCCAAGTTATAGACGTCTAACAGCTTGACAATGTACTTACCTTTACTTTTGCAGATAAAGTTAGATGGTTGGAAAAACAAAACCAGCAAGAATCCCACCAGCGTTAATACTCCAGGCGCCATTACAAACACATGCCGTACGTAGTTGCTAACCGCCTCATTTGAGCTGGTTCTAAAATGAATAAAGGAATTGAGGGGTTTACTAAATCGTGCGTAATTTTAAAACCGTTATTGAAGTTTCAAATTGTCAACGGTGGCCTTGTCAAGCTGGTGAAGACAAACATGTTGAATATACTTTTCGAGTTTTAACAAATCGGCTGGTCATCTAAACGTTTTAAATACCATGTTTCTTGTTCCTTCTAGGGTAAATTACAATAAAGATTTGATAGACTAACCTTTCTTCTGGATAAAATTCCTGTATACCAATGATAAGAGCACCCTTTGAGATTCTGGCGATTACAGTGATAATGGAAAACACTGATCCACTGGTTTCCTGACAGGAAATCACCGTATCAACTCATTGATCTCAGATGGGAAACCAACATTGGTACTAACATTTACGTAATTTTTAACTCTTTACCCCCAGGCCTAAGACCGACCGGCAGTGTCACTGCTGAATCAAACATTTACGACAAGAGAGAAAAAGGTAAATGATCGCCAATCAAAATAAAGGTCTTAATTGTTCGAATAATTATCCCTATTAGTGTCATGGTAAATTTATAGAGAGCACTATGGAAAATATGCACACTAATCATGGTATAATCAAGTTTCAGAACTAGTCCGCGACTGAAACGGTTCTTTTTCAGTACCCTCTGTGATTGACCTTGAAAACTCGCGACAATCTCTCAACTGATCAGATGTAAATCGAAATTTCCCAAACTTCAGGCGATCTAACTGTATTTACTTGAAATTCTCAGTAGCTACTTGTAAGATTTTATTTCGTTCTGACAAAGAGTTGGGATGAGTTTGGATTTTGTTTTGCGACATTCAAAACAACTTTCATGTCATTTCAATTTCAAAAATGGCTGATTGAAAATGCACTGTAACTGAACTGAGCTGATTTTGCGTCTCTCCTCTAGACCATTAAAACTTGTTTCAAAACACTAACCCTATTTTCCCCGATCAGCTCGGTGATGAAGACCAGTGCCACGACGTACATTATGGACAGACCACTTCCTATCATAACCACTGGTGCATAAGTTGATTGTCTGATGGAGAAGGTTTGAAAATAGCTCCAAACAGCGCCACCCATCACTAATAAACTTGCCAGAAGGTAGCTCCACTATGATGTGCATATCAATGAAAGTATGAAAGTTACTAAGACTAAGTTAACAAATAAAGTTTTTCTTGGTTCTGTAACAAGCAAGACACAAAAAAAGATCTGAGAATCCTTTGAGTAAAACTTGAAACTTGAGGAAAGATGGTTCATTTGTCGAGTAAAGTTAATTAAAGCCATTAAGATGATCGTTGATTTATTGCCCCTCTCAGCCACTCATCATCAACTAGTAGATAAGCCGACGTTTGGCGCAATCAATGCATTTCCACTATCACAAACGTGGAATGACCAGCTAGAAGAAGCTGTTAATCTAGGTCTTACCTTACTTCCAATTTTCCTTTTCAGTTTCTTACACGTTGAACTCGCTAAAGAGCCACTGGTTAGGAGGACGAGTGGGAAATAAGCGGTAGCTGCCTGATTCAGGAAAAAAATACGATGATATTATTATAATTATTAATAAGTTTGAAAACAACTGAGCACTTCAGATTGAACTATACCTTGGGGAATGATAATCTCTCTGTGAGGAAGAGCGGTAAATAACTGTTTACAGAGTCCTGCGCAAGGCGTGTACATGTAAAGATAATGGCTACCTGAAAATTAAAACACGATAAAAACATCAAAGAGAGTCAACTAAATCAACATACAAGGATAGTTGGAAACACAAGGGTTTACCATGTACACGTTTGGATCTTTTAGCCAGTTTTTGATTCCTTTTGGACGTCTTCCCTCAGATATAGAACTTGTCGATTGAACAGGGACACCAAGAAGATCAGGGTTATCCGCTGAAGTTACGGAATTATTAGTGCCATCGCAACCTTCTATTCTTTCGATTTTTCTGACGGGTTGTTTTGGAAAATCTTGCATACTTTCATCCAGACTCGTTTTGTTGTCAGGCGTGTGATCGAGATTTAATTCCTGTCGTTCTGTTCCATTCATTGGCGGCATTTCCAGAAATCCAGAAGGATCGAAAGTCACAGACTTTCTTTGCTTCCTAACTGATGTACCGCAAAGGCTTTCCTTCTTATCATCATCACCTCCATCATCTTCAAATCCAGAGTTAGAGAGCCCAAATTTACCATCATCCGGAAAAAGCACCATTCCATATTTTCTTTGCTTAGGTACGATACAAAAAGATGTCTTGGGGGCCGCGCTGATGGTCATTTTCCACATACCTTTTTCGGTAGTGTTTTTGATCTCTCCTTGCCTGGCGTTCCACGATTCTTCATCGGTTGAATGATCATCGGCTATACCGTCCATTGTAACTTGATTTTCCATGGCACCAAAACATGTTGGTTGTTCGTGCTCTTCGTGTTGTAGTCTCAACAGGATGTCGTCAAAATCAAGCGTTCGTAGACTCTTCTTGCGTTCACTATCAAAATGCTGTACTTCTAGATCAGTTTTCCCGTCGGCAAACATAGCAACAGCAAACTTCTGCAGAAGACTCCGTTTTCTGACACGCAATTCATGGCTTTTGGTTTCTCCATTTCCGTCCATCTCATTTTGATGTTCTTCATATTCAGTTGAAGCCATAACCATGTTAGTAAACTTAAAAGCAAGACTGGTCCGTCTAGAATCTTGAGCAAAAACAAACAAAACAAGCAATTAACGAACGTCTGTTTTTTCTGTCTCAGGGCTCAACGATAGAACTAAATCATGTCACCTTCAGGAACATGTCTTAACTCTTTGTCGGATCAACTATTAACATTTATTCCCTCAAAATGATCTCAATAATATTTTTATAACACGGGATATCTGGACTTCTTCTCGTTTGTTTTTGTTGTACTTCTTTTCCCGTTGGAACTTGTAAGTGAAAAATCTGAGTAACCCAAGCTAAGCTAAAGGTTTTGCGCTGCGCTGGAAAAAAAAGTTATAGTAAAGTTGTCCAAAAAGACGATCCTTAGAAGGCTAGGTTTACGGATGAAATTCCTTGCATTATCCTCACCATCTACTTAGCTGTTTCTTCGAAGTAAAACTCGAGCTACTAACGTAGTCGACATTTAGCCTCTTGGCGGAATGCAGTCTGGAAATAACTGGAGTTTGAGGGTTGGATATCCTAACTGTCACCACTAATCTTAATCTCCAGTCGACATGCGCTTCTGAACTAGATACTTTGCTTTAAAGAGGAGGTTGTTTAAACATTTCAAGTAAAATTGGTGCTGTCTCCAGACTGGACCACCTGTATCAAACTTGAGGCATGCCTGCACACAGTCATGGCCAATAGATTCTCAAAATTACCGAGGCAACAATACACTAGATATTAAGAAGCTCCATGCATAAATAAGACCTTTCCCCCTTAATATGACGAGTAGCGTTTTTCATATATGTAGTTTAGTTTGATGTCGGAGAGGACGTTACATCTGCAATTTAACAGAACAAACGACGGTTTTAAGATAATACACCACAGTACATATCCGTAGACTTACTTGCATTTTCGGGTACAAAATCTTCAATGAATTTTTCAGAAGCTTTCTGCAAAATAACGGGAAAGTGGCCAGAGTGAATTGAAGGTTCTTTAGATAATGTGTAGACCATACCTCTATCCCTCTGGTCATGCTATGTAACTTCAAGACCCGTTCAGATTAATAGAGCTCTTTAAGATAAATCAAATGAAGAACGAAGAAACAGTCGCGCAAGCGCGCCGCTTTTAGCTCCATAGTGTTGTCTGCTTTCCGAACGCAAAAATAAGCTTTTGTATGACCTATATCTGAAAAGAAAAGGAAATATCTTTTTTGCTTCCTGTCTTACCGTACAATCCGTTGTGGCGCTTTCTTTATTCTGACATTGTTGAGGTTCCTTTGTACCAATGTGGAAGATGGCTGCAAAGAAGAGTCCTGTTCCAGTAGCAATCCACGAGAGGTGCTGTTTAGAAAAAAATTAATCAACTAGCATCTTAACCCTTTAACTCCCAGAAATGATTAACTTTTAACCTCTCCCTGTTGTAAACATACGCTATCCAGCCAACAGCTGATGAGAATACTCATACTTATCAGGGAGAAGTTTTTATCTTGATCTAACACTAAATTCTCAAAATTAATTTACAAGGAAATGCAAAGCAGCTCCAAGAGAGAATTGACAATCAGATCTTGAAAGTTGAAAGGTTAAGGACAAAAAAAAAGGTTTTTGATGCCAGCAGAGATGTGTGGAAGGAGGCTGAAAGGCTGTCAGGCAGTGCAGCAAGAGAAAACCAAATTTCTCCGATCCGTTTTTTAATTGCGTTTTTTTTTTAATTTCATTGTATTGAGCTTCCGCCTGTTTGTCAAAGCATATCGTAGCATAGAATTATTAACGAAGCTGCGCTTACCACAAAATCTGGAAGGCTCTGGGGTCCCAGAGTATCGCTATTGTCTTGTCCGAAAAGGCCCCAGGCGATCACGTATATGTAAATACCACTAAGGAAGCTGAACATTGTCCTTTTGAACAAGAAAAAGAGAAGAGTTAGGAAAATTGTTCTTAGATGTCACGTTTATTATTTCTACAGGATAACTTAGGAAAAAACGACCTCAGAGTGTCCGTGCTTGAGTTGAGTTATATAAAAGTCATACAAGTGTTTATACAAGTATATTTAAAACAAATACGATTGCCGTTTGAACTGTGTCTTAAAAAAAGTCTCTTGAAGCAAACTTTATGGCACCAATAAAACTGTACATTCTTAACGGATTCAGTTACAGTTGTAATCAAGATAATTTATCTCCACAATGCTCAAACAAATGTGGTACACCGAGATCAAGAAGATGTAATAGACAATTGAAAGCCACCCACCATGATTTCTATTACAAAGAAAACAGCGATGAAAAAAAAGGAATGATAATGCTCATTAAAACCGTTATCAAAAGGTGCCAAGATTTTCGCCCACCGGGATTCTTTGAGAGAAAACTTTTAAATGAAAAATTAAGCTGCCGGCAGACGTCTTTGAATAAATTTCCTACCGCGCGCAATAGCTGTTCTCTTGTCCGCATTTTAAACAGAAAGTAGACGCAACCAGTCTATATGAAAACTTCGCAAATTAGTTGGATAAAGATTCAACATAATTATCTCGAATCATGTAAAAGGTTACATGATGCTGTCCTTAAATGCAATCTCAAAAGTAAATCCCTGCGTAATTGACCGCTTGAAACTTCATGGGGTGTTATAATTGGAGCAATTGACACGAAACCTAAAGCCTCACACAAGAATACAAGTTGCAGTCTCTTATGGCCAGTAAGGTCAATCAACGGCTGAATGCATGATAAAAACTGATGAATCTGTACGAAGCTTAATTTCACATGTGTGAGCAATTAAAATGGAGTTCTGAGCAGACTTACGCATAGGTAGAAGGTTTTTCATTAAATTATTATTTTTTCTGACTTTTACGAAGCAAGAGGCAATGGTACTTAAGTCAACCGATTTACGCTTCCATTAGAGTTGTAGTGAAAAGTAACTTCAAGAGAGTCTGATTATGAAATAAAAACTTTGCGTCATCATCTGACTAGCAAAATTATTACATTATGACGTGCTTCCGTTTAGTTACAGATCAAAGGTGCCGTCAAAATGTGCTCGTGGCACACGAGGCGCAGCCGAGTGTATAACTGATGTTCTTACCACATTTTGACATATTATGTGATCTTTAACTGTAAATCCACGTCAACATGTAATCTGTTTGTTTTAGATAATAAAAAGCCAAAATTGTGCGGATGGCAACGTAAACTATGCGTCTGTCCTCCAGTAGATCTTTAGTAAGAGCCAAACAAAATGAGTGAACAGTTGAGTGTAATTTAATTTGATACTTTTATAAATAGCAAACCTGATGGCGCTAAGATCTGTTCGTTCCTCAACCGACCCAGCTGAAGTTGTGATGAAAGCCAGGTGATTTATCTCCACCACGCTGAAACACATGTTATACAGTGAGTACAAGAAACCGTAATAGACGGTGGGAAGCCATGTTTGATGTCTTCCACCACAGAGAATGCAACGGTTGATGCAGAGAGGAACTACGATGCCCATAAAAACCGTTGCCAGGAGATGCCAAGATTTTCGCATTCCAATTTTCTGTGAAAGAACGGGTACTTTAACCATATCACCAAGGTAACCAGAGATTACTGAAGTCAACGCGTCAACAATTTGTCCAATGAGTATTATAAGTCCAGTGTCTACAGCTGAAAGTTCCACTACCTCCATCAAAAATAGGAGAGAAAATGAAAACATGTACTTGCTGAGGTCATTGAATATACTTCCCGCTGCACATAGTAACATTTCTCTTGTACGCATTGTAAAAACGAGGCTCCTTGGTCTGGGCACGCCACACTCTCTTTCCCCCGCTTAAACCTGCTTCGATTCTATGGGAAGCCTATTTTTACCATTTTTATATGGGTGTGTGACGTTCCCACTTGATAAGAAAATAATGCATCAATCACAGCTCGCTTTTTGTTTTCCAGAGAGCCAATCATATCAACAGAGTCTTAGTGAGGTTTCCTACCCCAGCCCTCACAATATTTTACTCTGACTAAAACGAATCAAGCTCGAAACGAAGTAAGCTAATCTTTTGCGTCGTTTGAAAACTTATAGATACTATAACTGGGTGCTATTTTTCTTGGCAGTTTTACTGACCCTTTTAAGGTAGATAATGTTTGGTTTCTCCATTCAAAATCACAGTAGATTGTGAAAGAGCAGAAAAATTTAATTCGATGTCTGGTGCAATTCGTATCCACAGTAATTTTTTTGTTCTTATTACACACACAATAAATTGACCTTGCTTAGAGAAATTCGCTAAACCATAGATTGACGTTAGAACTTGGCTATAGCTTATTATTCTTGGCTATAGCTTATTATTCTTGAGAGTCATCAAATTGATAAAGATCGGGGTTGATGATAAGTAGACTAATTATTGCAATTTCCATAATTAAAAGGAAGTTAATTGAGAAACATTGATGTCAAGTCTCGTTCACCGCCACCTCCCATGACCTACATTTGGCCGATTATTAAGTAGTGCTTTTAAAACATTCACATTGGAAATGAGTTTTTTTTGGAAGAAGAAATATATGAACTGAATAACCTCCTCCTTCATCGTTACTTGGATATCCAAGTAACATGTTTATATAGCCGGTGAACTGACCTTACGTAATTGAAAGTGCAGAAACTAAAATGTTCCGCATAATTACAGGCTCAAACGCGACTAATTTTGGCTTGTTTTGAGTCATTGATACAAATTAGAATAGTTTAGAGTTGTGGATTGCAAAAGCAATTATTTGAAGTGAAATGCAGTTCCAAACCATCTGTTCACTTTGAACTTTCTTTCGTATGCTGGCAATTTAATCTCAAGCAAGTAATTGCACTATGTCTTTCTTGAAAGACAATTGTTGGACAAGGGTAGTTCTATTCGAGCAACCATTGTCTGAGGTCCCATTAGTAAAGATACTGCTGTCTCAGAACCAAAACATCCCGTAACCATTAACGTAGCTCTACAATAATCTTGTGTATGGTTTTATGCAACAAAACCCACGCATATTATATTTCTGAAAAGAAATTATAGGTTTGTGTCCTCAGGAAAACAATGAACCGCGGCGACGGAAGAGTTTTGATTTGCATCTAATCACACCTTTGGCGTTGCTTTGTTTCGAAGAGAAGCTGAGGAAGTGGAACATCAAACGATGATTGATCTGCTTGAGCCTCAACATCCTGTGCGTCTGCACACGAGAAATGGCACACGTAAAGGTTATGCAATGGAGGGCATACAACAATATATGAAATAACGCTCCAAACCTATTATCAAAAGCAGAGGAATTAGAACAAAAAGTAGAGAAAGTCTCTGCGTCGGTATACGGTTTCTTGCGTAAAACCAAACAGAATACTTCAGACGTCATTGCTGACACATTTTGCACGTAGTTGCATACAACAATAAATGCAGAGGAATTAGAACAAAAAGCGGAGAAAGTGTTTGCGTGGGTATATGGTATCTTGCGTGAAAGAATAAATTTTTGTGACCATTCGCTTGGAGAGGAGTCTGTGTATATTCAATCATTCTGCGTAATTACCAGTATGCTAGACGGGCATCTGAATTAAAATTTAAATCAACGTTGTTACCTTTCGTTTGTAAGCAAACTTTTGACGGTTGGAGAGGCAAAACCAGTAGGAATTCCACCAAACAGAATACTTCAAATGCCATTGCTTACGCATTTTGCACGTATTTGCCAACAGCCTCGCTTGAGCTAATTTGAATCGAGAGTAGGAAATTGGGTATATCAGAACTGATAGTAGATTTTAAAAAGTTGAAAGCTGATGAAAAAATTTTAAGGGTGAACTCGAGCCTATAGGGCACTTTTCTTTGCAAAGTGAACATGAAATTGAATTCATATTTAGAGTTCTCATCAATTCAATAAATTTGCATTGCAGCCATCAATTTATAATTTGCTCTTGTCGCGCGGTTGTTAAGTAACTACACCGACATTAGAAATTTACAGAGTGCCGTTCTATTATGGAAAAAAAAGAAAGGTTCTGGGGAAATTTAGATTGATTATTATGTTTTAGTGTTTATTTTGCATTGGCTAGGAAATGCATGCGATTTAGAGAAAAGAAATGGTGCGATTCGTGACCCCAGTCAGATTGCAGGAATCACCAGGGATTTTCAAAGTGAATATAGTATGCGCATTTATTCTGCATACTCTGTCTGCTGGTTCACAATATTTGAACCCTTGAAATACGGTTCGAGATCTCTAAGCGAAATCAATCCCACAATCCAGAAATCTCTCTAGAAAAAAAGAGAGCCAGGTAAATTGACCGTAATAACGAAAGCTCGGTTGGAAAGTGTCTTTTCAGTGGCACTGATTTCACTGCACTCGAAAAATTGCTAAGGCAAGACAACTTTCCGACCTGTCTATGCGATGTACCAGTGTCGTAACAAATAAGAAATTTCGGAAAGTATATGTATATTTTTTTTTTCAGTAATTGAACTATAAGTTTACTGTAAGGTTTGGCAGATTTTCTTTACTTGGGTCACGTATCCTGTCCGGTGCAAACGCATTCATGAACATATTCAGTCTGACAGATTTACTCAGTCAAGTCAATTAGGATTGGGGGACTAGGCGACTAGGCAATTAGGCTCTCTGAAACCCAGTCAGGTATGGTTAATCGGAACAACCAGACACTCCTTGGCTCGTAACTAGCTAGGTCAACAAGTTGGAAAGTTCTTGAATTTTTGCGGTGCTTTTAATGTGCACGAACATTAAAAGAGAAAGCAACCCATTTTTCTTGCGACTAAATTTGATACCACTCAACCATAGAATCGAAACGTTTCAACAAAGGAGAAAATAGAAAACCATTGGAGACAAAAGGCCCTGATTCCTTCATTCGTCCTCAGCCGTACTCTTACTACGCATGTTCAAACTAGCGAGCCTCAAGCTCTGTCAGGTTCGATCATCCGGAAGGAACAAACAAGCACGTACGTTAAGATAATTTGGATTTATTTATGACTGAGTTGATAATGTAAATTGACCACGGTAGAGAGTTTCAAAGCTGACGTTTCGAGTGTTAACCCTTCGTCAGAGCGAATCGCACTCGGCATAACTCTTACTACGCGTGCTCAAATTAGCTAGCTTGAAGCTCTGTCAGGTTCGATCACCTGGAACAAACAAACAAGCACGTATGTTGAGATAATTTGGTTTTATCTACTGAACTGATAATGTAAATTGGCTACGTTAGAGAGTTTCAAAGCTGACGTTTCGAGAGTTAACCATTTGTCGGAGCGAATCGTACTCGGCCGTACTCTTACTACGCATGCTCAAATTAGCTAGCTTGAAGCTCTCTCAGGTTCGTTCACCTGGAACAAACAAAGACGTATTTTAACATATATTACTTGGTTTTATTTATAACTGAGTTGATAATGTAAACTGGTGTTAGCCCTCCGTCAAAGCGAATGGAAACACCTACCTAAGATTGTCTTATCCTGTTGAAAACTGAGGACGTCCAAATGAAGTATCGCAATGGTTGTCTTTATTTCTGGTGTTAAAAGAAACACACTACCCTTAATTGTAACTCAATCGTAAGGAAGGTCTCTCCAACTGTCATCCAGCCTTCTTCAGAGACAGTCGTCCTTTCAAACAACCCTGAGTATAATTTTCCTGTTTCTCATCAAAACATGCGAAGGTAAAGTAAGTTACATGGGCTGGAGTGTCATTTGACGATAAGCACACGATTTAGGTATCAAATGTTTCAAGGGTCGATGTCAGCATTGTCGGATAGTGACTTTGTTTACTGAACACGTGTTGTCACGCAATTTCACGTGTAAAGTAGCTAATTGAGTATGACCCTCGTGGTGAACACCAGCTGGATAACAACAAACACCAATACTAGCAACCTGTTTTCGTTCGAAGTCTGATGTTTTTATTAAAATAATAACCAAAGAAACTTTTTTACCCTAACGTAAGAAATTGAATTTCAAAACACTTTAACTAAAATGAGGAGAAAGGAACAAGCTGGGTACGATCAGAGGGTGTGAACTGTAATATTTTTTTTACATTTCAGTGTGCAATAGACTTAGTATTTCCACGGTTAACTTTTATTTTTCACCGAAATCTTAATTAAAGACTCGTCAGTTTACATCTCATCTACTTCTTGTTACATTTTTTATGTAAGGAATATGCTGGTCTAGATATTGACTCTAAACAACCTTTTTTCGAAGCCTGAACAAGGAGCCTTCCCCACCCCCTTCTCTTCCTTTTAACTCTTCCTACCCTCCTTGTCCTCCTCGCCTCGCCTCATTTTCTCATGTTTGAAAGTTAGTTTCAAGCATAATTAGGACTGCGAACATTATCATACCAGTTATTCAAAATCAAAAATATCATAATACATGTAACTATAATCTATGAAAACTTCTGCTTGCATTGTCCGCCATTGATCTGAACGGTTCACATTATTTATTCCGAGATGTGAACAGTTTTCTGAGCACGAAGTTCGAGGAAAACTTTGAGCTATCAATAGAAATCAAGAAGATCTAAACAATTTTGAACATTGATGGACTCATTTTCAATTAAAATACTATGCTATTCTTATTATTATTATTAAACAACACGATAACTATTTATCTAAAATTTAGCAAAAGTAGACTCTTGTTCATCTTGGTGCGAGAGGTCTTTACGACTTGTCTGCTTTTATTTTACGGAATTCTACGATCACAAAACTTTTCATGTGAAAGGGTTTTTCCTAAAATCTAAACAAGAACAGACAGAAAACGAACTATACTATCTCTTTAATTTTAACTTGATTGTTGAAAATGAAACAATTAGCAGTCAAATCGTGCAGGCCCAAATCGTGGGCGTATCTGTGCAATGACCTTTTAGTAGGTCGACGGAGCCTCTACACATAATGCAATTTTCAAAGAATTCAAAGTTTTGAGTCCCCAGAACAAGAATCCCCCACCACGATGGAGGTATTGTGACTATCATCCAAGCTGTGGTTTGACATTGCTTTGACTCCCGGTGGACGTGGAACATCAAACGACGATTGGCCGTGTAGATCCTCAACATCTTCTAAAGCTAGAGGAATAAATTGACAGAGGAAGTTTTCCTTGACAATAAAGACAACTGCATGTAATACTGCCTAACAAACCTGAAACTCCAAGTATAAAACCGGCAGTACTACATAGACGCACAACCATCACGAGGTAAATGCATTTACACAGGCTTGTGTCATTTAATAAGATTACTAATTTCAACAAAGGAACGCTTGATACCATTGCTTCAGAGGGTAGTTCAGAGTATTTGCAGTGATTCTCCATACGTTACGCAAGTTATAGAAGTCTGGACAATGTACTTACCTTTACTTTTGCAGATAAAGTTAGATGGTTGGAAAAACAAAACCAGCAAGAATCCCACCAGAGTTAATACTCCAGGCGCCATTACAAACACATGCCGTACGTAGTTGCTAACCGCCCCATTTGAGCTGATTCTAAATTGATAAGAGGAATTGAGGAGTTTACTAAATCGTGCATAATTTTAAAACTGTGGTTAAAATTTCAAATTGTCAAGGATGGCCTGGTCAAGCTGGTAAAGACAAACATGTTGAATATACTTTTCGAGTTTTAAAAAATCGGCTGGTCATCTAAACGTTTTATATAGCATGTTTCTTGTTCCTTCCAAGGTACATTACAATAAAGATTTAATAGACCAACCTTTCTTCCGGATAAAATTCCTGTATACCAATGATAAGTACACCGCTTGAGATTCTGGCGATTACAGTGATAATGGAAAACACTGATCCACTGGTTTCCTGACAGGAAATCACGGTATTAACTCCTTGATCTCAGATGGGAAACCAACATTGGTACTAACATTTACGTAATTTTTAACTCTTTACCCCTAGACCTAAGACCAACAGGTCTTTAATTTCTCCTCCCAGTGTCACTGCTGAATCAAACATTTACGTCAAGAGAGAAAATGGTAAATGATCGCCAATCAAAATGAAGGTCTTGATTTTCAGAAAAATTCTCCTTGTTAGTTTTATGGTAAATTTATAGAGAGCACTCTGGAAAATATGCACACTGATCATGGTGTTAATCAAGTTTCGGAACTAGTCCGCGACTGAAACGGTTCTTTTTCAGTACCCTCTGTGACTGGCCTTGAAAACTCGCAACAATCTCTTAACCGATCAGATGTAACTCGGAGTTTCCCAAACTTCAGGCGATCGAACTGTATTTACTTTAAATTCCCATTAGCTCCTTGTAAGGGTTTTATTTCGTTCTGACAAAGAGTTGGGATGAGTTTGGATTTTGTTTTGCAACATTCAAAAGAAATTCCACGTCATTTCAATTTCAAAAATGGCTGGTTGGAAATGCACTGTAACTAAACTCTTCGAAACCATTAAAACTTGTTTCGAAACACTAACCTTATTTTCCCCTATCAGCTCAGTGATGAAAACCAGTGCCATGACGTACATAATGGACAGACCACTTCCTATCATAACCACTGGTGCATAAGTTGATTGTCTGGTGGAGAAGGTTTGAAAATAGCTCCAAACAGCGCCACCCATCACTAATAAGCTTGCCAGAAGGTAGCTCCACTATGATGTACATATCAATGAAAGTATGAAAGTTACTAAGACTAAGTTAACAAATAAAGTTGTTCTTGGTTCTGTAATAAGCAAGAAACAAAGAAAAGGTCTGAGAATCGTTTTAGGAATCGAACTTCTGACTACCTTTACTTGAGAAAAGATGGTTCATTTGTCCATTAAGTTAAATAAAGCCATTGAGATGATCGTTGATTTATTGCCCCTCTCAGCCAATCATTGTCAACGAGTAGATAAGCCGACGTTTGGCGCAATCAATGCATTTCCACTATCACAAAGGTGGAGTGACCAGTTAGAAGAAGCTGTTAATCTAGGTCTTACCTTACTTCCAATTTTCCCTTTCAGTTTCTTACACGTTGAACTCGCTAGAGAGCCACTGGTTAAGAGGACGAGTGGAAAATAAGCGGTAGCTGCCTGATTCAGGACAAAAGTAGGATGAGATTATTATAATTATGAAAGAGTTTGAAAACAACTGAGCACTTCAGATTGAACTATACCTTGGGGAATGATAATCTCTCTGTGAGGAATAGCGGTAAATAGCTGTATACAGAGTCCTGCGCAAGGCGTGTACATGTAAAGATAATGGCTACCTGAAAATTAAAACACGAGAAAAACATCACAGGGAGTCAACTAAATCAACAAACAAGGATAGTTGGAAACACGAGGGTTTACCATGTACACGTTTGGATCTTTCAGCCAGTTTTTGATTCCTTTTGGACGTCTTCCCTCAGATGTAGAACTTGTCGATTGAACAGGGAGACCATGAAGATCAGGGTTATCCGTTGAAGTTAACGAACTATTTGTGCCATCGCAACCTTCTATTCTTTCGATTTTTCTGACGTGCCGTTTTGGAAAATCTTGCGTACTTTCATCCAGAATCGTTTTGTTGTCATGCGTGTGATCGAGATTTAATCCATGTCGTTCTGTTTCGTTCATTGACGGCATTTCCAGAAATCCAGAAGGATCGAAAGTCACAGACTTTTTTTGCTTCTTAATTGATGTACCGCAAAGGCTTTCCTTCTTATCATCATCACCTCCGTCATCTTCAAATCCAGAGTTAGAGAGACCAAATTTACAATCATCCGGAAAAAGCACCATTCCATGTTTTCTTTGCTTAAATACGGTACAAAGAGAAGTCTTGGGGGCCGCGCTTTTGGTCATTTTCCACATATCTTTATCAGTAATGTTTTTGATCTCTTCTTGCCTGGCATTCCACGACTCTTCATCAGTTGCATGATCATCGTCTATACCGTCCATTGTAACTTGGTTTTCCATGGCACCAAAACATTTTGGTTGTTCGTGCTCTTCGTGTTGTAGTCTCAACAGGATGTCGTCAAAATCAAGCGTTCGTAGACTCTTCTTGCGTTCACTATCAAAATGCTGTACTTCTAGATCAGTTTTCCCGTCGGCAAACATAGCAACAGCAAACTTCTGCAGAAGACTTCGTTTTCTGACACGCACTTCATGGCTTTTGGTTTCTCCACATCCGTCCATCTCATTTTGATGTTCTTCATATTCAGTTGAAGCCATAACCATGTTAGTAAACTTAAAAGCAAGACTGGTCCGTCTAGAATCTTAAGCAAAAGAAAACAAAACAAAACAAGCAATTAACGAACGTCTGTTTTTTCTGTCTCAAGGCTCAACGATAGAACTAAATCATGTCACCTTTAGGAACATGTCTTAACTCTTTGTCGGATCAACTATGAACATTTATTCCCTCAAAATGATCTCAATAATATTTTTATAACACGGGATATCTGGACTTCTTCTCGTTAAGTTTTTGTTCTACTTCTTTTCCCGTTGGAACTTGTAAGTGAAAAATCTGAGTAACCCAAGGTAAGCTAAAGGTTTTGCGCTGCGCTGGAAAAAAAGGTTATAGTGAAGTTGTCCAAAAAGACGATCCTTAGAAGGCTAGGTTGACGGATGAAATTCTTTGCCCCATCCTAGCCATCCACTTGGCTGGTTCTTCGAAGTAAAACTCGAGCTACTAACGTAGTCGACATTTAGCTTCTTAGCGGAATGCAGTCTAGAAATAACTGAAGAAGGCTTGAGGGTTGGATATCCTTTCTGTGACTACTAATCTTAATCTCCAATTGACATGCCCTTCTGAACTTGATATTTTGCTTTAAAAAAGACGTTGTCTAAACATTTCTAGATTGGACCTACTGTATCAAACTTGTGGAATGCCTGCACACAGTCATGGTTAATAGATTCTCAAAAATACCGAGGCAACAATACACTAGATATTAAGAAGCTCCATGCAAAAATAAGACCTATTCCCCTTAAGATGAGGACGAGTGGCGTTTTCATCTTTGTTTGATGTGGGAGAGGACGTTGCATCTGCAATTTTAATAGAAACATCGACGGTTTTTAAAATAATACACCACAGTACATATCCATAGACTTACTTGCATTTTCGGGTCCAAACTCTTCAATGAATTTTCCAGGAGCTTTCTGCAAAATAACGGGAAAGTGGCCAGAGTGGATTATGGGTTGCTATAGATAATGTGTAGACCATACCTCTATCTCTCTGGTCACGCAATGTAACTTCAAGACCCGTTCAGATTAATAGACCTCTTGTAGATAAATCAAATGAAGAGCGAAGAAACAATCGCACAAGTGCGCTGCTATTAACTCCATGGTGTTGTCTGCTTTCCGAACGCAAAAATAAGCTTTTGTATGACCATTATTTGAAAAGGAAATATCTTTTTTGCTTCCTGTCTCACCGTAAGATCCGTTGTGGCACTTTCTTTACTCTGACATTTTTGAGGTTCCTTTGTACCAATGTGGAAGATGGCTGCAAAGAAGAGTCCTGTTCCAGTTGCAATCCACGAGAGGTACTGTTTAGAAAAGAATTAATCAACTAGCATCTTAACCCTTTAACTCCCAGAAATGATTAACTTGTAACCTCTCCCTGTAGTAAACATACATTCTCCGGCCAACAGCTGATGAGAATAGTCGTACTTATCAGATAGAAGTTTTTATCTTGATCCAACACTAAATTCTGAAAATTAATTTATAAGGAAATGCAAAGCAGCTCCAAGAGAGAATTGACAGTCAGATCTTGAAAGTTGCAAGGTTCGGGACAAAAAAAAAATATTTTTAATGCCAGCAGAGATGTGTGGAAAGAGGCTGAAAGGCTGCCAGGCAGCGCAGGGAGAGAAAACCAAATTTCTCCAACCCGTTTTTTAATTGCGTTAATTATTATTTCATTGTATTCAGCCTCCGCCTGTTTGTCAAAGCATATTGTAGCATAGAACTATTAACGCATTTATTTACCACAAAATCTGGAAGGCTCTCAGGTCCCAGAGTATCGGTATTGTCTTGTCCGAAAAGGCCCCAGGCGATCACGTATAGGTAAATACCACTTAGGAAGCTGAACATTGTCCTTTTGAACATGAAAAAGAGAAGAATAAGAAAAATTGCTTTTAGATATCGCGTTTATCATTCCTACAAGATAAGTTAGTAAAAAACGGCCTCAGAGTGTCCGTGCTTGAGTTGGGTTATATAAAAGTTATACAAGTAATTTATACAAGTATATTTAAAACAAATACGATTGCCGTATGAACTATGTGTCTTAAAAAAAGTCTCTTGAAGCAAACTTCATGGCATTAAGAGCTGTACATTCTCTGTAATAAAGGTAATTTATCTCCACAATGATCAAACATATGTAGTACACCGAGATCAAGAAGATACCATAGACAATTGAAAGCCACACACCATGATTTCTATTACAAAGAAAACAGCGGTTAAAGAAAAAAGGAATGATAATGCTCATTAAAACTGTTATAAAAAGGTGTCAAGATTTTCGCCCGCCGGGATTCTTTAAAAGAAAATTTTAAATGAAAAATTAAGCTGGCGGCAGACGTCGTTGAATAAATTTCCTACCGCGCACAATAGCTGTTCTCTTGTCTGCATTTTAACCAGAGATGGTTAGATGCTAGATGAAAACTTTGCAAATTAGTTGGATAAAGATTCACCATAATTATCTTGAATCATGTACAAGTTAACTTGATGCTGTCCTTAAATGCAACCTCAAAAGTAAATCCCTGCGTGATTGACTGCTTGAAACTTCATGGGGTGTTATAATTGGAGCAATTGAAACGAAACCTAAAGCCTCACACAGGAATACAAGTTGCAGTCTTTTATGGCCAGTAAGGTCAATCAACGGCTGAATGCATGATAAAAACTGATGAATCTGTACGAAGCTTAATTTCACATTTTCGAGCACTTAAAATGGAGCTCTGAGCAGACTTGCGCAAAGGTATAAGGTTTTTTATTAAATTAGAGTTATTTCTTATGACTTTTACGAAGCAAAAGGCAATGATACTGAAGTAATTTACGCTTATATTAGCGTTGTAATGAAAAGTAAGTTTAGGAGAGTCTGCTTATGAAATAAAAACTTTGCGTCATCATCTGATTAGCAAATTATTACATTTTGACGTGCTTCCGTTTTGTTATAGATCAAAGGTGTCGTCAAAATGTGCTCGTGGCACACGAGGCGCAGCCGAGTGTATAATTGATGTTCTTACCACATTTTGACATATTATATGATCTTAAATTGTAAATCCACGTCAACATGTAATCTGTTTATTTTAGATGATAAAAAGGCAAAATTGTGTGGATGACGACGTAAACTACACGTCTATCCTCCAGTAGATCTTTGGCAAGAGCCAAACAAAATGGTTGAACAGTTAAGGGTAACTCAATATAATACTATAAACATAGCAAACCTGATGGCGCTGAGATCTGTTAGTTCTTCAACTGACACAGCTGAAGTTGTGATAAAAGCCAGGTGATTTATCTCCACCACGCTGAAACACATGTTGTACAGTGAGTACAAGAAACCGTAATAGACAGTGGGAAGCCAAGTTTGATGACTTCCACTACAGAGAATGCAACGGTTGACGCAGAGAGGAACTACGATGCCCATAAAAACCGTTGCCATGAGATGCCAAGATTTTCGCATTCCAATTTTCTGTGAAAGAACGGGTACTTTAACCATATCGCCGAGGTAACCAGAGATTACCGAAGTCAACGAGTCGACAATTTGTCCAATGAGTATTATAAGTCCAGTGTCTGCAGCTGAAAGTTCCACTACCTCCATGAAAAATAGGAGACAATATAAAAACATGCACCTGCCGAGGTCATTGAATATACTTCCCGCTGCACACAATAACATTTCTCTTGTACGCATTGTAAAATCGAGTCTCCTTGGTCTGGACACGCACACTCTCTCTCTCTCCCTCACTTAAGAATGCTTTGATTCTATGGGAAGCCCATTTCTTCCACTTTTATATGGGTGTGTGACGAAGGGTCAGTGTAATTGCCAAGAAAAACTGATGATTGATGATAAGTAGACTAATTATTGAAATTTCCATGATTGAAAGGACGTTGATTGAGAAACATTGATGGAAATTCGACTCGAAAGTCACGTTCAAGGCCACCTCCCATGACCTACATTTGGCGGATTATTAAGTACTGCTTTTAAAACATTGACATTGGAAATGAGTTAACCATCTCTTTGGAAGAAGAAATATGAACTGAATAACCTCCTTCGGACTGTCATCGTTACTTGGATATCCAAGTCACATGTTTATATAGTCAGTGAACTGACCCTACGTAATTGGAAGTGCCAAACTAAAATGGTCACCATAACTACAGGCTGAAACGCGACTGATTTTGGCTTGTTTTGAGTCATTGATCCAAATTAGAATAATTTAGAGTTGTGGATTGCAAAAGCAATTATTTGAAGTAAAATGCAGTTCCAAACCATCTGTTCACTTTCAACTTTCTTTCATATGCAGGCAATTTAATCTTAAGCAAGTAATTGCACTATGTCTTTCTTGAAAGACAATTGTTAGACAATATAGTTCTATTCGAGCAACCATTGTTTGTGTCCATCAGTAAAGATACTACCGTCTCAGAACTCAAACATCCCGTAACCATTTACTTAACTTTACCATAACCTTGTGTATGGTTTATCCAACAAAACCCACGCATATTATATTTCTGGAAAGAAATTATAGTTTTGTGTCCTTAGAAAAAGAATGAACTGCAGCGACGGAAGAGTTTTGATTTGTATCTAACCACAACTTTGGCGTTCCTTTGTTTCGGAGAGAGGCTGAGGAAATGAAACATCAACGATAATTGATCTGCTTGAGCCTCAACATCCTGTGTGTCTCCACAGGAGAAATGGCACTCGTAAAGGTTATACATTGGAGGGCATACAACAATATATGAAATAACACTCCAAACTTACTTTCAAAAGCAGAGGAATTAGAACAAAGAGCAGAGAAAGTTTTTGCGTGGGTATACGGTATCTTGCGTAAAAGAATAAATTTTTGTGACCATTCGCTTGGAGAGGAGTCTGTGTATATTCAATCATTCTGCGTAATTACCAGTATGCTAGACGGGCATGTGAATTTAGATTTAAATCAACGTTGTTACCTTTCGTTTGGAAGCAAACTTTTGACGGTTGGGGAGGCAAAACCAGAAGGAGTTCCACCAAACAGAATACTTCAACTGCCATTGCTTACGCATTTTGCACGTATTTGCCAACAGCCTCGCTTGAGCTAATTGGAATCGAGAGTAGGAAATTGGGTACATCAGAATATCACGGAAGATTTTAAAAAGTTGAAAGCTGATGAAAATATTTTAAGGGTGAACTCGTGCCAATTGGGCACTTTTCTTTGCAAAGTGAACATGAAATTGAATTCATATTTAGAGTTCTCATCAATTCAATAAAATTGCATTGCAGCCATCAATTTATAATTTGCTCTTATCGCGCGGTTTGTTAAGTAACTACACCGACATTAGAAATTTACAGAGTGCTGTTCTATTTAGATTGATTATTATGTTTTAGGGTTTATTTTGCATTGGCTAGGAAATACATGCGATTTAGAGAAAAGAAATGGTGCGATTCGTGACCCCAGTCAGATTGCAGGAATTACCAGGGATTTTCAAAGTGAATATCGTATACGCATTTATTCTGCATACTCTGTCTGCTGGTTCACAATATTTGGACCCTTGAAATACGGTTCGAGATCTCTAAGCGAAATAAATCCAGAAATCTCTCTAGAAAAAAGAGAGCCAGGTAAATTGACCGTAATAACGAAAGCTCGGTTGGAAAGTGTCTTTTCAGTGGCCTGCACTCGAAAAATTGCTAAGGCAAGACAACTTTCCGACCTGTCTATGCGATGTACCAGTGTCGTAACAAATAAGAAATTTCGGAAAGTATATGTATATTTTTTTTTTCAGTAATTGAACTATAAGTTTACTGTAAGGTTTGGCAGATTTTCTTTACTTGGGTCACGTATCCTGTCCAGTGCAAACGCATTCATGAACATATTCAATCTGACAGATTTACTCAGTCAAGTCAATTAGGCTTGGGGGACTAGGCGACTAGGCAATTAGGCTCTCTGAAACCCAGTCAGGTATGGTTAATCGGAACAACCAGACACTCCTTGGCTCGTAACTAGCTAGGTCAACAAGTTGGAAAGTTCTTGAATTTTTGCGGTGCTTTTAATGTGCACGAACATTAAAAGAGAAAGCAACCCATTTTTCTTGCGACTAAATTTGATACCACTCAACCATAGAATCGAAACGTTTCAACAAAGGAGAAAATAGAAAACCATTGGAGACAAAAGGCCCTGATTCCTTCATTCGTCCTCAGCCGTACTCTTACTACGCATGTTCAAACTAGCGAGCCTCAAGCTCTGTCAGGTTCGATCATCCGGAAGGAACAAACAAGCACGTACGTTAAGATAGTTTGGATTTATTTATGACTGAGTTGATAATGTAAATTGACCACGGTAGAGAGTTTCAAAGCTGACGTTTCGAGTGTTAACCCTTCGTCAGAGCGAATCGCACTCGGCATAACTCTTACTACGCGTGCTCAAATTAGCTAGCTTGAAGCTCTGTCAGGTTCGATCACCTGGAACAAACAAACAAGCACGTATGTTGAGATAATTTGGTTTTTATCTACTGAATTGATAATGTAAACTGGACACGTCAGAGAGTTTCAAAGCTGACTTTTCGAGTGTTAGCCCTCCGTCAAAGCGAATCGAAACACCTACCTAAGATTGTCTTATCCTGTTGAAAACTGAGGACGTCCAAATGAAGTATCGCAATGGTTGTCTTTATTTCCGCTTTTAAAAGAAACGCACTACCCTTAATTGTAACTCAATCGTAAGGAAGGTTTCTCCAACTGTCATCCAGCCTTCTTCAGAGACAGTCGTCCTTTCAAACAATCCTGAGTATAATTTTCCCGTTTCTCATCAAAACATGCGGAGGCAAAGTAAGTTACATGGGCTGGAGTGTCATTTGACGATAAGCACACGATTTAGGTATCAAATGTTTCAAGGGTCGATGTCAGCATTGTCGGATAGTGACTTTGTTTACTGAACACGTGTTGTCACGCAATTTCACGTGTAAAGTAGCTAATTGAGCGTGACCCTCGTGGTGAACACCAGCTGGATAACAACAAACACCAATACTAGCAACCTGTTTTCGTTCGAAGTCTGATGTTTTTATTAAAATAATAACCAAAGAAACTTTTTTACCCTAACGTAAGAAATTGAATTTCAAAACACTTTAACTAAAATGAGGAGAAAGGAACAAGCTGGGTACGATCAGAGGGTGTGAACTGTAATATTTCTTTTAGATTTCAGTGTGCAATAGACTTAGTATTTCCACGGTTAACTTTTATTTTTCACTGAAATCTTAATTAAAGACTCGTCAGTTTACATCTCATCTACTTCTTGTTTCATTTTTTATGTAAGGAATATGCTGGTCTAGATATTGACTCTGAACAACCTTATTTCGAAGCCTGAACAAGGAGCCTTCCGCACCCCCTTCCCTTCCTTTTAACCCTTCCTACCCTCCTTGTCCTCCTCGCCTCGCCTCATTTTCTCATGTTTGAAAGTTAGTTTCAAGCATAATTAGGACTGCGAACATGATCATACCAGTTATTCAAAATCAAAAATATCATAATGCATGTGACTATAATCCATGAAAACTTCTGCTTGCATTGTCCTCCATTGATCTAAACGCTTCACATTATTTATTCCGAGATGTGAACAGTTTTCTGAGCGCGAAGTTCGAGGAAAACTTTGAGCTATCAATAGAAAACAAGAAGATCTAAACAATTTGGAACATTGATAGACTCATTTTCAATTAAAATACTATGCTATTCTTATTATTATTATTAAATAACTACACGATAACTATTTATCTAAAATTTAGCAAAAGTAGACTCTTGTTAATCTTGGTGCGAAAGGTCTTTACGACTTGTCTGCTTTTATTTTACGGAATTCTACGATCACAAAGCTTTTCATGTGAAAGGGTTTTTCCTAAAATCTAAACAAGAACAGACAGAAAACGAACTATACTATCTCTTTGATTTTAACTTGATTGTTGAAAATGAAACAATTAGCAGTCAAATCGTGTAGGCCCAAATCGCGGGTGTATCTGTGCAATGACCTTTGACTCCCGATGGACGTGGAACATCAAACGACGATTGACCGTGTAGAGCCTCAACATCTTCTAAAGCTAGAGGAATAAATTGACAGAGGAAGTTTTCCTTGACAACAAAGACAACCGCATGTAATACGGACTAACAAACCTGAAAATCTAAGTATAAAACCGGCAGTACTACATAGACGCACAACCATCACGAGGTAAATGCATTTACACAAGCTTGTGTCATTTAATAAGATTACTAATATCAACAAAGGAACGCTTGCTACCATTGCGTCAGAGGGTAGTTCAGAGTATTTGCAGTGATTCTCCATACGTTACGCAAGTTATAGAAGTCTAACAGCTTGACAATGTACTTACCTTTACTTTTGCAGATAAAGTTAGATGGCTGGAAAAACAAAACCAGCAAGAATCCTACCAGAGTTAATACTCCAGGCGCCATTACAAACACATGCCGTACGTAGTTGCTAACCGCCCCATTTGAGCTGGTTCTAAATTGAATAGAGGAATTGAGGAGTTTACTAAATCGTGTATAACTTTAAAACTGTTGTTAAAATTTCAAATTGTCAAGGATGGCCTGGTCAAGCTGGTTAAGACAATCATGTTGAATATACTTTTCGAGTTTTAAAAAATCGGCTGGTCATCTAAACGTTTTATATAGCATGTTTCTTGTTCCTTCCAAGGTACATTACAATAAAGATTTGATAGACCAACCTTTCTTCCGGATAAAATTCCTGTATACCAATGATAAGTACACCGCTTGAGATTCTGGCGATTACAGTGATAATGGAAAACACTGATCCACTGGTTTCCTGACAGGAAATCACGGTATTAACTCATTGATCTAAGATGGGAAACCAACATTGGTACTAACATTTACGTAATTTTTAACTCTTTACCCCCAGGCCTAAGACCAACAGGTCTTTAATTTCTCCTCCCAGTGTCACTGCTGAATCAAACATTTACGTCAAGAGAGAAAATGGTACATGATCGCCAATCAAAATGAAGGTCTTGATTTTCAGAAACATTCTCCTTGTTAGTTTTATGGTAAATTTATAGAGAGCACTCTGGAAAATATGCACACTGATCATGGTGTTAATCAAGTTTCGGAACTAGTCCGCGACTGAAACGGTTCTTTTTCAGTACCGTCTGTGACTGGCCTTGAAAACTCGCAACAATCTCCTAACCGATCAGATGTAACTCGGAGTTTCCCAAACTTCAGGCGATCGAACTGTATTTACTTTAAATTCCCATTAGCTCCTTGTAAGAGTTTTATTTCGTTCTGACAAAGAGTTGGGATGAGTATGGATTTTGTTTGGAGTGGTGGAGTGACCAGCTAGAAGAAGCTGTTAATCTAGGTTTTACCTTACTTCCAATTTTCCTTTTCAGTTTCTTACACGTTGAACTCGCTAGAGAGCCACTGGTTAAGAGGACGAGTGGAAAATAAGCGGTAGCTGCCTGATTCAGGACAAAAGTAGGATGAGATTATTATAATTATGAAAGAGTTTGAAAACAACTGAGCACTTCAGATTGAACTATACCTTGGGGAATGATAATCTCTCTGTGAGGAATAGCGGTAAATAGCTGTATACAGAGTCCTGCGCAAGGCGTGTACATGTAAAGATAATGGCTACCTGAAAATTAAAACACGAGAAAAACATCACAGGGAGTCAACTAAATCAACAAACAAGGATAGTTGGAAACACGAGGGTTTACCATGTACACGTTTGGATCTTTTAGCCATTTTTGGATTCCTTTTGGACGTCTTCCCTCAGATGTAGAACTTGTCGATTGAACAGGGAGACCATGAAGATCAGGGTTATCCGCTGAAGTTAACGAATTATTAGTGCCATCGCAACCTTCTATTCTTTCGATTTTTCTGACGTGCCGTTTTGGAAAATCTTGCGTACTTTCATCCAGAATCGTTTTGTTGTCAGGCGTGTGATCGAGATTTAATCCATGTCGTTCTGTTTCGTTCATTGACGGCATTTCCAGAAATCCAGAAGGATCCAAAGTCACAGACTTTTTTTGCTTCCTAATTGATGTTCCACAAAGGCTTTTCTTCTTATCATTATCACCTCCATCATCTTCAAATCCAGAGTTAGAGAGACCAAATTTACAATCATCCGGAAAAAGCACCATTCCATGTTTTCTTTGCTTAAATACGGTACAAAAAGATGTCTTGGGGGCCGCGCTTTTGGTCATTTTCCACAATTCAATTCAATTTTATTTGTTAGCAATACAATATTATCACAGTCCTAGGTGACCCGCAATTAGCAAGCTATTCTAGGCGGGCCACCCTTCTAAAACAAGTGCTGTCTCTGCTAAGGATCACATACCGATACAATTAAACAAAGATAATCATTAATAAAAATACAATTGTTAAATAAAATAAAATAAAATTAAGTCCGTTGAATAATTAAATAATCAATTGCAAAGTTATCAAGATATATAATACAATTGAAACAAGACTTAAACGAAGAGTTACTTTATCAAGAGATATTTACAAATGAGCAGCGTATATCAACATTCATCTCCTCATTTTCCAAAAGTTTTAACAGGCGATTTTTAAGTTCTTAAACGGGGTTCTGTTTTTAATACGAAGTTCTTTTGGGATGGCAAAAGAAAATAAAAGTTGGTTAGTTTAGACGCTTTAACGTACAGATTAGCCGTTGCTGAGAATCTTGTGAAATGGTGATGAACCTGCTCGGAGTGGATAAAGAGCATAGAAATATTAGACGGGGCACGGTGATTATCAATGTCATGCATCAAAGAGGAAACCAAATGAGAATAGACATATCTTTATCAGTAATGTTTTTTATCTCTTCTTGTCTGGCATTCCACGACTCTTCATCAGCTGCATGATCATCGTCTATACCGTCCATTGTAACTTGGTTTTCCATGGCACCAAAACATTTTGGTTGTTCGTGCTCTTCGTGTTGTAGTCTCAACAGGATGTCGTCAAAATCAAGCGTTCGTAGACTCTTCTTGCGTTCACTATCAAAATGCTGTACTTCTAGATCAGTTTTCCCGTCGGCAAACATAGCAACAGCAAACTTCTGCAGAAGACTTCGTTTTCTGACACGCACTTCATGGCTTTTGGTTTCTCCACATCCGTCCATCTCATTTTGATGTTCTTCATATTCAGTTGAAGCCATAACCATGTTAGTAAACTTAAAAGCAAGACTGGTCCGTCTAGAATCTTGAGCAAAAAAAACAAAAAAACAAAACAAGCAATTAACGAACGTCTGTTTTTTCTGTCTCAGGGCTCAACGATAGAACTAAATCATGTCACCTTTAGGAACATGTCTTAACTCTTTGTCGGATCAACTATGAACATTTATTCCCTCAAAATGATCTCAATAATATTTTTATAACACGGGATATCTGGACTTCTTCTCGTTAAGTTTTTGTTCTACTTCTTTTCCCGTTGGAACTTGTAAGTGAAAAATCTGAGTAACCCAAGCTAAGCTAAAGGTTTTGCGCTGCGCTGGAAAAAAAGTTATAGTAAAGTTGTCCAAAAAGACGATCCTTAGAAGGCTAGGTTGACGGATGAAATTCTTTGCCCCATCCTAGCCATCCACTTGGCTGGTTCTTCGAAGTAAAACTCAAGCTACTAACGTAGTCGACATCTAGCTTCTTAGCGGAATGCAGTCTAGAAATAACTGAAGAGAGCTTGAGGGTTGGATATCCTTACTGTGACCACTAATCTTAATCTCCAGTTGATATGCACTTCTAAACTAGAAATTTTGCTTTAAAGAGGACGTTTTCTAAACATTTCTAGATTGGACCACCTGTATCAAACTTGTGGAATGCCTGCACACAGTCATGGTTAATAGATTCTCAAAAATACCGAGGCAACAATACACTAGATATTAAGAAGCTCCATGCAAAAATAAGACCTATTCCCCTTAAGATGAGGACGAGTGGCGTTTTTTGGCATCTTTGTTTGATGTGGGAGAGGACGTTACATCTGCAATTTTAATAGAAACAACGACGGTTTTTAAAATAATACACCACAGTACATATCCATAGACTTACTTGCATTTTCGGGTTCAAACTCTTCCAGGAATTTTCCAGGAGCTTTCTGCAAAATAACGGGAAAGTGGCCAGAGTGAATTATGGATTGCTCTAGATAATGTGTAGACCATACCTCTATCCCTCTGGTCACGCAATGTAACTTCAAGACCCGTTCAGATTAATAGACCTCTTGTAGATAAATCAAATGAAGAACGAAGAAACAATCGCACAAGCGCGCCGCTATTAGCTCCATGGTGTTGTCTGCTTTCCGAACGCAAAAATAAGCTTTTTTTATGACTATTATTTGAAAAGGAAATATCTTTTTTGCTTCCTGTCTCACCGTAAGATCTGTTGTGACGCTTTCTTTACTCTGACATTTTTGAGGTTCCTTTGTACCAATGTGGAAGATGGCTGCAAAGAAGAGTCCTGTTCCAGTCGCAATCCACGAGAGGTACTGTTTAGAAAAGAATTAATCAACTAGCATCTTAACCCTTTAACTCCCAGAAATGATTAACTTCTAACCTCTCCCTTTAGTAAACATACATTCTCCGGCCAACAGCTGATGAGAATAGTCGTACTTATCAGATAGATGTTTTTATCTTGATCCAACACTAAATTCTGAAAATTAATTTATAAGGAAATGCAAAGCAGCTCCAGGAGAGAATTGACAGTCAGATCTTGAAAGTGGCAAGGTTCGGGACAAAAAAAATATTTTTAATGCCAGCAGAGATGTGTGGAAAGAGGCTGAAAGGCTGCCAGGCAGCGCAGGGAGAGAAAACCAAATTTCTCCAACCCGTTTTTTAATTGCGTTAATTATTATTTCATTGTATTCAGCCTCCGCCTGTTTGTCAAAGCATATTGTAGCATAGAACTATTAACGCATTTATTTACCACAAAATCTGGAAGGCTCTCAGGTCCCAGAGTATCGGTATTGTCTTGTCCGAAAAGGCCCCAGGCGATCACGTATATATAAATACCACTTAGGAAGCTGAACATTGTCCTTTTGAACAAGAAAAAGAGAAGAATAAGAAAAATTGCTTTTAGATATCGCGTTTATCATTCCTACAAGATAAGTTAGTAAAAAACGGCCTCAGAGTGTCCGTGCTTGAGTTGGGTTATATAAAAGTTATACAAGTAATTTATACAAGTATATTTAAAACAAATACGATTGCCGTATGAACTATGGGTCTTAAAAAAAGTCTCTTGAAGCAAACTTCATGGCACTAAGAGCTGTACATTCTCGACGGATTATATTGTGTGGATGACGACGTACACTAGACGTCTATCCTCCAGTAGATCTTTGGTAAGAGCCAAACAAAATGGGTGAACAGTTAAGGGTAACTCAATATAATACTATAAACATAGCAAACCTGATGGCGCTGAGATCTGTTAGTTCTTCAACCGACACAGCTGAAGTTGTGATGAAAGCCAGGTGATTTATCTCCACCACGCTAAAACACATGTTATACAGTGAGTACAAGAAACCGTAATAGACGATCGGAAGCCAAGTTTGATGACTTCCACTACAGAGAATGCAACGGTTGACGCAGAGAGGAACTACGATTCCCATAAATACCGTTGCCATAAGATGCCAGAATTTTCGCATTCCAATTTTCTGTGAAAGAACGGGTACTTTAACCATATCACCGAGGTAACCAGAGATTACTGAAGTCAAAGCGTCGACAATTTGTCCAATGAGTATTATAAGTCCAGTGTCCGCAGCTGAAAGTTCCATTACTTCCATGAAAAATAAGAGACCAAATGAAAACATGCGCTTGCAAAGGTCATTGAATATACTTCCCGCTGCACACAGTAACGTTTCTCTTGCACGCCACACTCTCTTTCCCCCGCTTAAACCTGCTTCGATTCTATGGGAAGCCTATTTGTACCACTTTTATATGGGTGTGTGGGTGTGTGACGTTCCCACTTGATAAGGAAATCATGCACCAATCACAGCTCGCTTTTTGTTTTCGAGATCTCCTAACCCAGCCCTCACAATATTTTACTCTGACTAAAACGAATCAAGCTCGAAACACATTAAGTTAATCTTTTGCGTTATTTGAAAACCTAGAAACTGTAACTGAGTGCTTCTTTCCTTGGCGGTTTTAATGACTTTTTTAAGATAGATAATGTTTGGTTTCTCCATTGAAAATCACAGTAGATCGTGAAAGACCACAGAAACTTAATTTGATTTCTGGTGCAATTCGTATCCACAGAAAATTTTTTGTTCTTATTACACACACAATAAATTGACCTTCCTTAGAGGAACTCGTTAAACCATAGATTGACGCTAGAACTTGGTTATAGTTTATTATTCTTGACAGTCATCAAGTTGATAAAGATCGAGGTTAATGATAAGTAGACTAATTATTGCAATTTACGTAATTAAAAGGAAGTTGATTGAGTCGCGTTCACCGCCACCTCCCGTGGCCTACATTTGGCCGATTATTAAGTAGTGCTTTTAGAACACTGACATTGAAAATGAGTTTAGTATCTGACTCTTTGAAAGAAGAAATATGAACTGAAAAATCTCCTTCGAACAAGGAATTATCGTTACTTGAATATCCAAGTAAAATGTTTATATAGCCAGTGAACTGACCCTAAGTAATTGAAAGTGCAGAAACTAAAATGTTCACCATAATTAAAGGCTCAACCGCGATTGATTTTGGCTGGTTTTGAGCCATTGATACAAATGAGAATAATTTAGAGTTGTTGATTGCAAAAGCAATTATTTGAAGTGAAATGCAGTTTCAAACCATTTGTTCACTTTCAACTTTCTTTCATATGCTGGCATTTTAATCTCAAGCAAGTAATTGCACTATTGTTAGACAAGGCAGTTCTATTCGGGCAACCGTTGTCTGAGGTCTCCTTCAGTAAAGATACTGCCGTCTCAGAACTCAAACATCCCGTAACCATTAACGTATCTCTACCATAACCTTGTGTATGGTCTGTGCGACAAAACCCACGCATATTATATTTCTGGAAAGAAATTATAGTTTTGTGCCCTCAGAAAAAGAATGAATCGCAGCGATGGAAGAGTTTTGGAAAGCATACAACAATATATGAAATAACATTCCAAACCTACTTTCAAAAGCAGAGGAATTAGAACAAAAAGCAGAGAAAGTCTTTGCGTGGCTAAACGATATCTTGCGTAAAAGAATAAATTTTTGTGACCATTCGCTTGGAGAGGAGTTTGTATATTCAATCATTCTGCGTAATTATCATTATGCTACACAGACATGTGAATTTAGATATATATCAACGTTGTTACCTTTAGGAATACAACCAAACAGAATACTTCAGACGCCATTGCTGATACATTTTGCACGTAGTTGCCAACAGCCTCGTTTGAGCTAATTTGAATCGAGAGCAGGAAATTGGTACATCAGAATATAGTAGATTTAAAAAAGTTCAAAGCAGTAGTAAAAAAAAATTGTAAAGGTGAACTCGCGTCAAGAGGGCATTTTTCTGTGCAAAGTGAACATAAAATCGAATTCATTTTTCGAGTCTTCATAAATTCAATAAATTTGCATCGTAGCCATCAATTCTTAATTTGAGTAATGACGAAACTAAAAGAGACTCTTGTCGCGCGGTTGTTACGTGACTACGCCAACATTAGAAATTTACAGAGTGCTGTTCTATTATGGAAAAAAAGAAAGGTTTAGGGGAAGTTTCGATTGATTATTTTGTTTTAGTGTTTACGTTGCATTATCTAGGAAATGGATGTGATTAAGAGAAAAAAATGGTGTGATTCGTGACCCCAGTCAGACTGCAGGAATCATCAGGGATTTTCGAAGTGAATGTAATATGCGCATTTATTCTGCATACTCTGTCTGCTGGTTGACAATATTTGGACCCTTGAAATACGGTTCGAGATCTTTAAGCGAAATCACTCTAGAAATCTCTCTAGAAAAAAGAGTGCCATGTAAATTGACCGTTAAAACGAAAGCTCGTTTGGAAAGTGTCTTTTCAGTGGCCTGCACTCGAAAGATTGCTTAGGTAAGACAACTTTCCGAGCTATCTGTGAAACGTACCAGTGTTATAACAAATAAAAAATGTCGTAAAGTATGTTTGTTTCCAGTAATTGAGCTGTAAGTTTACTGTAAGTTTTAGCAGATTTTCTTTCCTTGGGTCACGTATCCTGTCCTGTGTAAACGCATTCATGAACATATTAAGTCTGACAGATTTACTCAATCAAGTCAATTAGGCTTGAGGAACTAGGCAACTAGGCAATTAGGCTCTCTGAAACCCAGTCAGGTATGGTGAATTGGAAAAACCAGACACTTCTCAGCTGGGAAGGTCAACAAGTTGGAAAGTTCTTGAATTTTTGCGGTGTTTTTAATGTCTACGTACATTAAAAGAGAAAGCAACCCATTTTTCTTGCGCCTAATTTTGATACGACTCAGCCATAGAATCGAAAGGTTTCAACAGAGGAAAAAGGTGGAAAACCATCGGAGATAAAAGGCCCAGACTCTCTTATTCGCACTTGGCCGCACTCTTACTACGCATGCTCAAACTAGCTAGCTTGAAGCTCTGTCGGGTTCGATCACCTGGAACAAACAAACGTATGTTAAGATAATTTGGTTTTATCTATAACTGAGTTGATAATGTAGACCGGCCACATTAGAGAGTTTCAAAGCTGACGTTTCGAGTGTTAACCCTTCGTCAAAGCGAATCGTACTCTGCCGTACTCTTACTACACATGTTCAAATTAGCTAGCTTGAAGCTCTCTCAGGTTCGTTCGCCTGGAACAAACAAACACGTATGTTCACATATATTACTTGCTTTTATTTATAACTGTGTTGATAATGTAAATTGGCCACGTTAGAGAGTTTCAAAGCTGACCTTTCAAGTGTTAGCCCTTCTTTAGAGCGAATGGAAACACGTATCTAAGAATGTGTTGAAAACTAAGGACTTACCAAATGAAGTATCGCAATGATTGTATTTTTTTTTAGTGTTATAAGGAACGCAATACCCTTAATTGTCAGGAGGGTCTCTCCAGCTACCTTTCAGCCTTCTTCATAGGCAGTCGTCCTTTTAAAGATCCTTGAATATAATTTTCCTGTTTATCAAACAAAACATGCGGAGGTAGAGTAAGTTAAACGGGCTTGAGTGTTATTTCACGATAAGCACACGATTTAGGTATCAAATGTTTCAATGGTCGATGTCAGCATTGTTGGATAGTGACTTTTTGTTCACTGAACGCATGTTGCCAGGCAATTTCACGTGTAAATTAGCCAATTTAGCGTGACCCTTTTGGTGAACACCAGCTGAATAATAACCAACACCAATAGTAACAACCTGTCTTCGTTCGAAGTCTGATGTTTCAATTAAAAAACTGACCAAAGAAACTTTTTACCCTAACGCAAGAAATTGAATTTCAAAACACTTTAACCACGAATAAGGAGAAAGGAACAAGCTGGGTACGATCAGAGGTTGTCAACTGTAATATTTTTTCTTACATTTCAGTCTGCAATGGACTTAGTTTTTCTTCGGTTAACTTTTACTTTTCACTTAAATCTTAATTAAGGACAGTTTATTTTTCCATCTTATTCTTGTTACACTTTTCAGGTAAGGAATACGCTGGTCTAGATATTGACTCTAAACAACCTTATTTAGGAGCCTGAACAAGGAGCCTTCCTCTCTCTTCCCCTCACCCTCCCTGTCCTCCCTGCTCTCCCTACCCTCCCTACCCTCCCGGCCCTCCCTACCCTCCCTACCCTTCCTACCCTCCCGGCCCACCCTACCCTCCCTTCCCTCCCTACCTTCCCTACCCTCCTGTCCTTCGGCTCATTTTCTCATGGTTGAAAATTAGTTTCAGGCATAATTAAGACTGCGAACATGACCACACTAGTTCTTCAAAACCAAGAATGTCCTAATACACGAAGCTATAGTCTGTGAAAACTTTTGCTCGTCAGCGATTGATCTAAACGGTTCACATTATTTGTTCCGAGATGTGAACAGTTTTCCAAGCAAAGTTTGAGCTATCAATAGAAAAGAAGAAAATCTAAAAAATATTGAACATCGAAAGACTCATTTTCAATTAAGATAATACACTATTATTATTACTAAACATACAAGATCACTATTTATCTAAAATTTTGGATAGGCGGACTCTTGTTCATCTCGGTGCGAGAAGTTATTACGACTTATCTCCTTTTATTTTACGGAATTCTACGATCGCAAAACTTTTCATGAGAAAGAGTTTTTCCTAAAATCTAAACAAGAACAGATAGAAATGAACTTTACAATCTCTTAAAATGAAACAGTTATGAGTCGTATAGGCCGAAACCGTGGGCGTGTCTGTGCAATGACCTCTTAGTGGGTCGACAGAACCTCCACACATAATGCAATTTTCAAAGAATTCAAAGTTTTGAGTCCTCAGAACAAGAATCCACCACCACGATGGAGGTATTGTGACTATCATCCAAGTTGTGGTTTGACGTTGCTATGACTCCCGATGGACATTGGTTAACTTGAACATCAAACGACGATTGGCCGTGTAGGGTCTCAACATCTTCTGAAACTAGAAGAAAAAATTGACAGAAGAAGTTTTCGTTGACAACAAAGACAACCACCTGCAATACTGACTAACAAACCTGAAGCTCTAAGTTTAACACCGTCTTATTAACTGAGCGTGGCACTACTACATAGACGCACACCTAACACGAGGTAAATGCATTTACACAGGCTTGTATTATTTGGTAAGATTACTACTTTACACAAAAGAACGCTTAACATCATTGCGTCAGAGGGTAATTCAGAGTATTTGCAGTTATTCTCCATACGTTACCCAAGTTATAGAAGTCTAACAGCTTGACAATGTACTTACCTTCACTTTTGCAGATAAAGTTAGATGGTTGGAAAAACAAAACCAGCAAGAATCCCACCAGAGTTAATACTCCAGGCGCCATTACAAACACATGCCGTAAGTAGTTGCTAACCGCCTCATTTGAGCTGGTTCTAAATTGAATAAAGGAATTGAGGAGTTTACTAAATCGTGCATAATTTTAAAACAGTCATTACTATTTCAAATAGTCAAGGATGGCCTGGTCAAGCTGGTAAAGACAAACCTGCTGAATATACGTTTCGAGTTTTAACAAATCGGCTGGTCATCTAAACGCTTTAAATACCATGTTTCTTGTTCCTTCTAGGGTAAATTACAAGAAAGATTTGATAGACCAACCTTTCTTCTGGATAAAATTCCTGTATACCAATGATAAGTACACCGCCTGAGATTCTGGCGAGTACAATGATAATGGAAAACACTGATCCACTGGTTTCCTGACAGGAAATCACCGTATTAAATCATTGATCTCAGATGGGAAACCAACACTAGTACTATTATTAACGTAATTTTTAACTCCTTACCCCTAAGACCAACAGGTCTAATTTCTCCTCACACTGTCACTACTGAATTAAACATGTACGTCAAGAGAGAAAAAGGCAAATGATGGCCAATCAAAATAAAGGTCTTGATTGTTAGAAAAGTTTTCCTTACTAGTATCATGGTAAATTTATAAGAGCACTATAAAAAATATGCACACTAATCATGGTTTTAATCAAGTTTCGAAACTATTCCGCGAATGAAACGGTTCTTTTTCATTTTTAACTTGCAACAATCTCTCAACCGATCAGATGTAACTCAAAATTTCCCAAACCTCAGGCAGTCTAACTGTATTTCACTTCAAATTCTCAGTAGCTGCTTGTGAGATTTTATTTCGTTCTGACAGAGTTGTGATTAGGTTGGATTTTTTTTTGCGACATTAAAAAGACTTTTCATGTCATTTCAATTTCAAAAATGGCTGGTTGGAAATGCACTGTAACTGAACTGATCAGATTTTGCGACTTAGCCTTTCCTCGAAACCATTCAAACTTGTTTCAAAACACTAACCCTATTTTCCCCGATCACCTCGGTGATGAAGACCAGTGCCATGACGTACATAATGGACAGACCACTTCCCATCATAACCACAGGTGCATAAGTTGATTGTCTGGTGGAGAGGGTTTGAAAATAGCTCCAAACAGCGCCACCCATCACTAATAAGCTTGCCAGAAGGTAGCTCCGCTATGATGTGCATATCAACGACAGTATGAAAGTTACTAAGACTAATTAAACAAATAAATTTGTTCTGGGTTCTGTAACAAGCAAGACACAAAGAAAATATCTGAGAATCATTTGAGGAATCGAACTTCTGACTATCGTAACTTGAGAAAAGATGGTTTATTTGTCGAGTTAAGTTAAATAAAGCCATTGAGATGATCGATGATTTATTGCCTGTCCCTCTCAGTGAATCATTATCATCAACA